CGCGGGGGGAGCTCGACCCTCGGGGGGGCGCAGCTGCCGCCTCCAGCGCCCGGGCTTTCCTCTGCCTTTTTTTTCCTGCCTTTTTTTGCCTTTCGCCGTTTCTTTTTGCCTTCTTTTTCCTTCCCTCCCAGGACTGGAAGTGGGATCCGCGTCCCTGAAACTGCTATGCCAACTGAACTCTCCTGGGCCGTGAGAATGCACGCCATCTCCGACCTCCACTCCTCCCTCACCCTGCGACTCCTCAACAAGGGGCCCGAGTACCTCCGCAGGCAGATGGAGGCAGGCAACCCGGGCAGGAAAAGTGCCGTGGAGAGGCTGGCGGCCGATAAGGCCAAGTACGTAAAAAGCCAGCAGGTAATCAGCACCAAGCAGGAACCCGTCATCGTGCTTAGCTCAGCCTCGGAGAGCAGCAGCGAGACCTGTTCGGTGGAGAGCAAAAAAATCAGCAGGGACTTTGGCAGAGGGAAGGGCGCGAAGCCCCTGGAGCTGGCTAAGGCGGTGTACTCCTGCCGTGCCCCCCTGCAGCACGGCCCCCCCATAGCCAGGCGCAGCACCCCCAAGAGGCAGATGCGGCCAGATTCCCTGGTGATTTACCGGCAGAAATGCGAGTTTGGGAGAGGTCAAAGCCAGGACAGCTCACGGGGGAGCTTGGTGAGGAGGATCTTCCAAGGGCCTGTGAAGGAGAAGCAGTTGGCTTCCCCTGAGATGCCCAGAGTCATGGAGTACACCGCAGCCACCGAGAGCAATGAGCCTCTCTCAGCAAAACACTGTGACCATCAGCCGAGCAACCACGGAGCGGAGCATACCGTCACTGGGAGCACCGAAGCCCCAGGGGTATGTACCAAAGGGCATGAGAGACCCTCAAAACCAAGTATACCTCCTGAGGAGGTCAAGGAGGTGAAGAGGAGAGGTCTCCATCGCTCCCAGTCGGACATCAGCTCTCGCTACTCCAAGTCCTTCTCCGAGTTTGATACATTTTTCAAGTACTGTGGCCTGGAGCAGGAGGTCATCGAGGATCTTGGGAGAGAGAACTTCTCCGTGATGTCCGACAACGTCTCCTTCAAGATCCGCAGCATCAGCGTGGCAACGTCCGAGAGTGACTTCACTAGGCACAGCGGGGACGAGGGGCTGCTGGAGGATGAACTCACAGAGCAGGTCCCGAGCAGCACCTCCGTGATCGAGCGCAACGCTCGGATAATCAAATGGCTGTACACGTGTAAGAAAGCCAAGGAGACTAACAAGGTGATCCAGGAACTGGCATGATGGCTTCTTTCAGCGTGCATTGCAGCCTGGTGAACTCAAGGTGTGTGCAAAGCCTCGCCCTGTTGTTTTATATATTTCTCTTTCCTCTTTAGCAAGCCGTTGACTTTTCTTAGTTTATTTTAGTCTTTTCATGAAGGGCTGAAGGAAAATGTATTTCATATACTACGTGTTCCGGTATGGCCTTTTTGCAAAGCAGAAATCTGTGTCGTTATAAAAAACAAAATACAAACAAATAAATGTGTGCAGCTTGCCAGATTTAGATCAGACCCCCCACATGAAATTAAAGAGTCAGTGTCTGTGAGGGATGTCTGTCCTTTGCAGATTCCTGCTTTGTAAATAGCTTGTCTTCTCTAATTTCTGCTCTATTAAATGCTAGAAAAAAACTTAGAAAAGTATTCAACCCTTAATTACAGTTGCTTAGATAACAGACTGAACTGAAACTATTACTAATTAGGAGTACACTGTATTTATACTATACTGCTACAGTTTTCCCCTCCTTACTCTCCCTCACTCTCTCTCCCTTCCCCTTATACATAGGCACCCCCAAGTATCAGGAAAGCAAAGCTGAGTCAGCGCTCCTGCTAGCAATCTTATTTCCCCCACAGCTTTCTGTTGGGACTATAACAGTTTGCTCCAGGTGACCCCCTAGCATTTCACAGGCTTGAAGTTTTCTGTCCTGTTTGACTGTAGTGGATTTGGCTCTTCTGAAGTGGGTTTTGCCGTGCTGTTTGGCACCGGTAGATGGAAATCAGTGGTACGGTTTGCCTTGGTTAGAGGGATACTTCATTGTTTTAAACTAAAGATACTTAATACAAATGTGTGGCATCTAGGCTTGGAAATCAATTGTGGCATCTAGACTTGGAAATCAATTAGTTCACAGACAGAAGCAGAACAAATTTAGCTCTGGTAAAAGCGGATACCCTGGTTTTAATAAAAGCTGTGTTTATTTTGCATCTGATCTCCTGAAAAAGAACTATATTTGTGGGGCCTTTGCTATTGATGATCTAGTAGATAACAGTTTTTTCTCCTTCCAATACATGAAGCCCTTAGGATAAGTACCGCAGCTTACAGTGTGGTATTTAAAAATTGCATGAGCAGATCTTGATATGAAGGATTACGTGTATATTTTTCTGACAGTTCATAATTGGTGTGTGAGAAGAACATCATTTAGTGTAGATACAGCTGTTGATAGAGTGTGGGCCTTATGAACGTGGAGAAATGTAGTGCTTGAGCCTCTTTCCGACGTAGATGTGGGGCTGTCGCTCCCGATTCCTTTAATCTATATAATGAAAAAATCCATTTACTTACTTGAAATCGGTTTTAATTATGTGAAATTTGGATCACTTTTAAAATTTGGGGTTTTCTCAAAAGCCTATTTTCTTCCTGCGAGTTGAGGGAGGAGGAAGGGAGACAGAGCCATTTTCACACAAACATTTCAAGCCCTTGTAGATAAGAATGGTTGTCAGGTATCCGGCTGACAACTTAAAGAAGTGTTGTTATGTGACAGATCCTTTCCCAAATTACCTTAGAGAGAAGAACAGGCTCTCCTGAGCTAATCATTTCTCCTTGCTCATCCTTCTGTGATAAAAGGCAAGGGAGATACACAAAACAAAATGACGCAGGTGGCGGTTCGTGAAGCTTGTTGCAGCTGCTGGCCTTGCTAAATGCAGAGGATGGGAGGCAGATTTCACCGCAAGCAGGAGCCACGTAACAAAACCAACCACATTTCCATGAAGGAAAATGAAATAAAGGCCTGTTTGCTCCCAAATGCCCTTGCTGGGGGTAGGGTCCAGAGCCGGAACTGCGGTTGTCACCGCTCAGGAGGGAGCTGTTGGCCCTTTCCCCATCTATTTACATGGTGCTAAGTGTGTCCAGTGCCGCAGCTGAGCCAGGAGATGCTGGTGACCACCCCAGGGGACATGCAGTCTGCAGAGGCGAAGGGCAGGAGGTGCTTTACCAGGGCAAAGGCAAGGGCAGGAGGGGGGGACGCTCTTTTCCAGGGGCTGAGCCGGTGTAACCTCACATGGGCTTGGTCAATGGCTTTTTTTTTTGAACATCTGAGACAAAATGGCAGTTCATAGCACATAGCCTAACAGGGTCGTGAAAAGACCTCCATGAAGTAAATAGCAAGTTTATTCAAGTATATGGTCATTCTGCAATAATTTTAATACCTAGAACAAGGGAGTGCTTTGCACTGGCAGCAATTTCCTTTGGCATCAAAATTTTTGGCAGTCTAGGAAACACTAATCCATAGGGTCCCTATTACAAACCTAATTTTAAACATACTAGGGCTGACTCTCAGCTGATAGACCTCAGCAGTAGGGCTGTGATTGTTTCCAGGGTAATTTCTGAAAACTGAGAACGTACTTACCATTTAGGCCACAGACCCAGAAGGTTCAGAAAGGTCAGCTAAAAATACCTGTACACAGCACCCAGAATAAACGACAAGAGTCATCAAGAGCTACCATAAGTTAAATATTACATTTACCGGGCAGAATTTAAGCTGAGAGTTGTTATCACCACGTGATCACAAGATGAGTCCTGTAGTTCTGATCAAATGTTCATCTTTCAGTCCTACGCTTTCTCTGACAATGCAGCATCAAGTTAGATATCTATGTATTTTCACTAAATCCACATATTTGGCTCTGTTTAGTTTGCATACTGGTTATTAATGGGCAGTGAACTCCTGTGTGCTAAGGGAAACCTGCTGCACGGGGGAGCGATGTGCTGTCCCTGGCGCTCCCAGGCACATCCTTGAAGGCTCCTCGTTTTACACAGAGGCTTGAAAATTGTTGCACCTTCTGTGGAAAAAGAGGCAGAAACATGTTTTCTAAAATCCAGCATTCATTACACGTAAAACACCTTTCAAGACCTGCAGGGCTTTTATGGGACGGTTAATTTTTCATGAGCTCTCCGGGACCTGGTGGGGCACCAGTTAAATAAAACAGTCATTTGAAGGATCAGATTCCCTACCATGTTTCATCAGAGTGATGACTGCAGAGTCTGAGCATGGGTTGTGAGCTTCAGAAAACTGAGGTCCTCAGCGAGATGGGCATTGCTGCTTCATGTTGGGATGTTGCCTAGATTCACCTCTGCAGTTCAGCTCCTCTCGCTGTCAGTCCTGCTTGACTCTAAGAAGGGGGTTCACTCTGCATCCTCTTTCTTAGTTTGAATCAAGATTATTCAGCCTTGAGTTTCAGCACCATTCTTAAATGGATATTCGTTATTCAAGTGGAAATCTCCTGGAAGGGGAATTTACTATGTTGGCAATAGCCATAAGCAGCTGAATAAAAGCTTTAGAGTATCACCTTATGCTTGTCTGACATGATAAATAATAAATGACACTTTTTTTTCCTCTTTCTTCAGAACCCTTGACTTGGAAGTTGAACAAAACCAGACACAGGAAGAAACTCTTCCCTCATCTGGCTCATGACTACTTTGTCCAAGTCTAGTATTTTATTATTTAAGACTCCTACCCTTGCCCCCACCCCCTGGCAGCCTCACTCTTGTCACAAGCACAGAGGTGTCCAAGAGCGCAATGACAAGCGGAGATTGTGAACTGTGCCCCAGAGAGGCAGCAGGAAACGAAAGCTCCTGGAAAAGTGAAGCGTGGCAGCAGCTGCCATCCGCGATAGTATTCAGCATCAGCTCACCACCCCAGGATGCTGTTCCGGGCTGTGACAGAAGGTCTGTGTCGTGCACCATCTCTTTCTAGCAATGAATTTGTCAGCAGGGATGGGGGGAGAAAGTGGGAATGAAGTGGCAATGGCCTCGGGGTCAGGCATTTCCTTGCAGGCAGACAGGCTCCACCTGGACTTTCAAAGGCTCTGTCTTACCAGGGCTGTTTGACCAGGGCTCATCCTGACATCATTAGATGTTATTTGCTTGGCTGGTGAGGACTAACTGTGGCAGCCGTATCTGGGATATTTGGCAAACATGTTGTAAGCTGAATCCCTGCCAAGCTTCTCTTTCTCTGAGAGTATTCAAGCCAAATTGGAGTACCTTGTATCCATCTAGTTTGCTCAGTCACACAGCTTGCTCAGCCAGTGGGGAGGAATAGCCTTTAAGACCCTGCCCGAAATCTTGTCAGAAGCACAGTTCCAAGAAACAGGTAGTCAAAAATGAGAGAGGGTTTTGCGTTGTTACTGCCCCGCTGCAGAACGGTACAATTCACATGTCCACTTGTTTGCAATATGTCTCCAACTCTGACATTGCAAACATGGCAGTGTTTGGCAGCTTGTGGTTTAACACTTTTAATTTTATGCACTGTGAGTGAGCAGTGGGCTTACAGAATCACGTTAGGAAACTGTATCCCAGGCTGTGTAAGGCCACACTTCCCTAGTGTGGGTCTGGAGTAGATGGCTGTGCTTGGGATGTTCAGGACGGCATCCCTGTGCTGCAAAGCAAGAAGGCATGTTGGGGCACAGCCGAGTCAGGTAAATATTCTGATGGGGTGAGACACCCAGTATAGGCAGCACCTTACTCAATATCATCAATAAAATGCTTCATTTGGACTGGCCGAGCTAAACGTGTTTTAAAAGCTGATAAAAAGTACTTTAGATGATCAGTGTAGTGAATGGGGCCTCTACAATAACTCATGGAATTTGCTGGCTGTGCCTCAAACACTTACCCCAATCTGTCATTGCTTGCTAGAAAATGTCCTGTATTAAAGCATTTCTTTGTGGACATTGCAAACCACAAAAAAATGCAAGAAACCCCCAATCAAAGCCAAAGCCAGTTCCCCTTTCAGTCGCACCAGTGCCCATCTGTGAGAGCTGCCCCTCTGGCGTAACGGTGACTCAACCCAAGGGTCCTGTAGATGTTAAGAGTTTACTTTGTGTTACCATGGATGTGGTGTCCGGCTTACCTGGCTGCCAGACCTGCACTGTGAGGAGTCCAGAAACACCAGCTTTCGTTCTCCGCATTCCTCCTGCCCGCACTGCGGCAGCTCCCACCGCTGCCTCTCCTGGCCCAAAACAGCTGCCAGCGCAGCCGGGTTG